AGGGGCAGACAGAGAAGACTCATTGCCCTACTCCAAAATCTGGGATAGAAGAACACATTCTGAAGAAAGCAGTCAGAATGCTGCAAGAAAGGCATCTATTCAAGCAGCTGTCAAAATTCAGCATTGCTTCTACCAGGAGACCTTATTGTAGAATCAAGATCTCTGCAGTGCAATACCCTCCACTGAGAAAGTCCCTTTCTATTTCTCTCTGGAAATGGTGGAAAAAGAACTGAACTTTTTTTTGCTGAATTCACAGCTTCAATCCATTTTCCAGATAACTCAAGACATGAAAGCCAAATGAATTATTGCTCTACCTCTCTCTGTTTCCTCAGGAAATGCTAACAGCAGTCCTGTGACTAAATCCATTGGATATTCTCTCTCCAGTTTTCTGGTCTTTCTGAATCTCTTTGTACACACACACACTTTGATACACAGTTAAACTCTCCCATTCAGGGGTGGCTTGCACATCACTTTGATTTGTTGTAAGATGGCTGTGCCACGATGATGTTATTAAGTCAGTTATCTCATAACACAAAATTACTTAATAATTTGCTCCATTTGTCCTCATTGACGGAAACAATGTGCTCAACCTTGTGTTATCTCAGTTCTTAAGGATTTGAAGCAATCCGTCAAGGCCTCGAACAGCTCCAGCTCTTTATTTTATCAATGGGAAGATCAGAATATGTGACTCACTGCAGTGCTGAAGGATCCTTCAATTTACTGAAGAGAAACGGGACATAAACTGAGCCAGGCAAATTCAGATGAGACAATTACCAGTCACAGGGAAAATCTATCAGAGGAATTGTGGGACTGCCTATCTCCTGAAGATGCAGTTCTTCTGATTAATGTCTCTATCTACAGGGAAAAGCCAACACTCAGCCCTATCTTGCTGTGCTCCTTTTAGACCCTGTAGAGATCTAGTCTGTGTGGCCAGGAGAGCCAAAGGGTAATTCTTGTCTTCCCAGAGGACACATCTAAAACTGGGCAGATGAATCATGTCCTTGGAGTGCACCTTTCCTACCACCTGTGGTAAAGGGAGCTGGGAGTGGCCGTGTTAGATATAACTACATTATAAATGTCTGGCTAGGAGAGATGAACTCCAGTTTTGGCGGTCAGCTCAGTTTCCAAACTCAGTGCCTAGTGCTCTTTGGATGTGTTGGATATCTGCCAACATACCCGCTGGCAGACATGATAAAAGTCCCATGAAGACCTTCATCTCTTTGGAATTTGATGTTGAGCCTCCTTTAAGTCCTTTGTTGTGTCTGCCACTGCAGGTGCCACAGGTGTCCATGGTACATATGCCGGTCTGGGATAGGCTGGAGCATCTCACAAATTAGAAGATGCCAGTGCTTAGAAAACTGAGTTTCTCCTAATGCAGCCAATAGAGTTGTTCTTCTGGCCAAATGAATCAGTCCCTGGGGTCCCTTGACTGGATTGACAGGCACCCTTTGCTCACATGGACACCACTCTGCAGACACTGGAATTTAGCTGTCTCCATCTCTGAGCTGAACTCTACCCTTCATATCATACAGGGAACTCAACTCCCTTGTCAACACATCTCTATCCCACACTTCTTGAGGGTCTTGGGGGTATCTTGGCCAGCTTTCAGCAGCTGGTCCACGAGGCAGGGAGCCTGTGGGCCTGCATCATTTCCTGCCAGATTTGTGTGGATGCTTCAGATTTCTCACACCGTCTCAAAAAAACCTACCCCCTACACTTCCATTTAGGCAACTGAACAGTGCCCTGTATGTTTCCCAGGAACGGATGCCTTGCTCAAGAATGCATTGCTGGACACATTGCAGGAATATGGGGGTGGATTTTTGTGGCCTGTGTGTAAAACTGCTCAGACTCAAAGAGTTTGTTTCTGGCCATAAAGTTTCTAAATGCTCCTTACCGATAGTCCAAGATGTTTGCTTTGCTCAGTTCACTGGTGTAGGCAAGACACTTTTCCCGTGCTTTATCACAGGATCTGAAAGGGTGAGTGATTTATATGAATTATCAGTGTTTATTCTATCAATGGGAACACTCTGTGCAGTTAAAACATAGTCAAACAAGACGCACTGGGACAGAGAACTGCAAGCTGCATTTCATGCATGGCCATAAACAAGCTCAGCTTATCAGAAAAACAGGTCCAAATGTGGCAGGGGCCAGAGCAAGCTCTCGATTACACAGCACTGAGCCCACAGCCAATGTGACTATTGGCCTCTTTTCCGAGGAGCAAGTTATAATCCATGCTGGCATGTGTGAAATAAGGAATTGGCGGCACTCATTAAGAAAGAAAAGAAACGGAAAACCATGAAAAGGAAAGTAGCTTTACTGGTATTTCCAGTGGTGAATCATTGGCATTCAGGGCTGTGGCCAGGTTAGGGCGAGATGACATCTAATTTGGGTGCCCAACACTGACAAATCCGACTAGTTAAAAATGCTAATCCTCTTCCCCTGGGAGCAGAAGGGGAGGAAGGTTAGAGCTCTGCTGCTGCAAGGGATTCCTTTCCTCCACCCTCCCCAGGAAATCCATCCCCCTTTCAAGCTCCCCACTTCACCCTGACCAGATCCCAGCGCTCTGCTCCCAGCCCCACAGACTATCTTCAGCCATAAAGGCTTCTCTTAAGATGTTCAACCCTCCTTTCCCAGCAGAGAGAGAAAATCCTGGTTGTTTGGAAAGCGATGACAATATTCTCAGAGAGCGCAGGGAAAGTAGAAGAGGGATTGAGCATTTTCACCATCTTCCTGTGTCTGAGCCCTTACTGGTGCAGACTGGGAGCAAACTCTGACCTCTCCCACCAGCAGTGCTTTCCCTATAAAAATAGGAGTTTCCAACAGAACAAGTTTTCCCTAAATGTTCCTGGCAGGTGTTTCACCATCAGCCTCTCTGTGGACAAACCTGCTACTGGTCCCTCCACTAAAACCACAGCAAACGAGGTCTGGAGAACAAAACTCCAGATGACAGGGAGAGTCTCAAATAAAAAGGAAGGAAGGAACAACAAAACCCACAGCAGATGCATAATCAAGTGAACCAAAAAGCTTGTCCAACATCCGTGTGACAAATCTGCCCGTCTGGGATGCAAGAGCAGAGAAAGTGGCTCAACAAACCATGCAGGGGCTGGAATCCAGCACCCTACGATGAGTCACTGGGGCCAGGACTTGGATTTGGGGTGTCTGGGAGTGGAGAGGACAACCCAGTGCTGCCTGAAGTGCTGTGTTCTCTGGGGAGATTCGTGTCACCTGGCTGGTCCAGCACTAGAGGGTAACAGTGAGTCAGTCAGGCTGCTGGGCCGCATGGCTGGGACAGGTCTTGCTGGTTGGAGATGGAGGGCTGTAAGTGGTGATCCCAGGGAGATCAGAGCAGGCAAGAGCAAATGAAGGGGCAGGTTGCACTCCCCTCACTGGCCTGGCTATTGGGCTCTTGTGGGGCTGGGTTGCACCAAGCACAGAGCAGTGGGTGCGCTGGGGGGTGTCCCTGTGCACTGGTGGGAGAAGAAATGAGGTGGCATCGGAACTGTGTCGCTGAGCATTGATGGAGCACAGGGCTGTGGGGTGGGAGCCGAGGGAAGGGGATAATGAGCCTGGTGGAAGGTGCTGTCTGCCCCACACAGGATGACTTTGAGCAAAGAGCCAACTCCCTGCTTTGTTTCTGGGTGCAGAGCAGGAGGTGCACCCTCAGAACTCCACGTGTTACTCCCAAAGCCAGGGTTGCTCGTCTTTAGCAGCCAAACTACACACTTTGGAACACATAATGTAACAGAAGCCGGGGGTAAAGTGTAAACCCACAGCTTGCTGCTGCTTCAGTTCAGGACCTCATCTTCTGGACATGGACAAGCAGAGCCCTGGCAGCCACCTGAGCTGTCTGTGATGGCAGGAGCCAGACCTGTGCCCATGTCAGTTGGCATCGAGCCTGAGACCTCATGTGCATGCAGAGCACAGAGCAGAGCAGCTCTTCTTAAACAGTGCTTGTACTCCCAGAGGGGCTGTGCCCAGTCACACATCGCCCGGTGAAGTTGTAGTGAATTATTTTTCCCTTAAAGCTCCAATATTGTTTGAATCCTTAATCAAAATTGTAAAGCCTAGGAGAAGGTTCTCTAGCGATTGAAGTTGGGTATCTAGTGGTTAGAAAGGAAGAGCAGTCAGGACTCCTGGGTCCCATTTTCAAATCTCCCACTGACTCTTTGAGTGACCTTGAAGAAGTCAATTAATTTCTGTCATGTTCCAGACAGGTAAAAATGAGGAAATAATTCTTCCCTAGTTCGCTGGGGGATTGTGAGTGTTAATTGTTTGCAGGGTACTTTTCTCTCCCCAGGTGAGAAGTAAAGGACTTTTTCTATGGCATGGCTGCAGGAAAGCTGAAGTTTGGCATGGAAAGTCACAAACACTTCAGGACTAAGGCTGCACCCAAGGGTCCAGCTCTCCCCACAGCTGCCCCAAGGCCCCCCTGCCCCAGCCTTTCATCAGCTATGGAGGCTGACATCTCCTTGCAGTTGTGTTGTGGAGACAATGAGCAGGAACCAGCTGCCTCCATCCAGAGCCACTCACACATGTCCATCTCACATCCCCCCAGGCTCCCAGCTTTGGCAGGTTTGCTGATCCTCACCAGTAACGTGCTGATACCTCACGAATGGGGGATGCATCACCAGCTGGCAGCCTTTCAGAATCCAGCCACAGCTATGAAGTCCTATCTGGGCTATCAGCTGCTTCATGGAGCCCACCAAAAAATCCTTTAGGGACTTAGCTCTGTTCTGAAAGTGGATATTATCATGGGTAGAACAAGGTGATCCTTTTTCCAAGGTGCTCTGTTGAGGTCAGCTGTGTCAGCCTGCCCTGGTGTGCAAACAATTCCTGTAGGGAGGGACCTCTGAGTTTATGAAAGTGTAAGTTTATTTTTGCCTTGAAGGGAAGCTTGCCACTGCCCTGCCTGCAGAGCTGATCACTGCACAGTTTTCCCTGGGCAGAAGAGAGGACGAGGAGCTGCCACCCGGGAACCCCAACCAAATTAACCTACTTACCAGGCTGCTCTCCTCTGCTCTAGGAGAGTGGCTGTTTGTTTGCTTTAGGCCATTTCTGGGCAAGCAGTAACCAGAGATGAGCAAAACTCAGAAAATTTCTGCTCCCATGGGAAATTTCAGCCTTTCAGAGGTCGGCCTGCATCCCAAATCAGGCCAGTTCAGCAAAATGAAATTCGGGTTGAACTCACTTGAAGCAGTCGGTTTCTCCCTGGTGAAAAGGTAGAATCTGGAGAAAGAAGAGGGGGAGGAAAATGAGGGAGATTTTCTTTTACTTACAGGAAACTTCTTTTATGAGAAATTGTATTTTTCACTTGTTCCAGTCCCAAACTGCTCCAGAACTAATGCCAGGAATTCCCTCATCTATTTATACTCAGTTTTGCTGTCTGGGTCTTATTGTACCTGGCATTTGCTGTGACATATGACTGTGTTGCAAATAATACCGGGAACATTTACCTTGTGGAAGCATCATGGAGGGAAGGTTTCCAAGGGCCCTTTGTCAACCTGCTGCCACCGCCCTGCAGGGACCCCCAAACCCTGCCAGCAAAGGTCCAAAGCCCTGTGGCTTTCTGAACGCTGCAGCTGCAACAACGTGGGTGTATTTTGGGGGGGGGGGATAAATGCTCTTTCTGGTGAAAAAAAAAACACAAAACAACAAAACAACAACACTGTGAATTTCTGTCAGTTTTGTCAAGTGAATTCATTTAGAATTAAAAAACATAACTTGCTTGAGACGGATTTCACTATGAAACGTCTCTTTGTTCAGAGATTTCCTTTCACTGTGGTTTTCTTCTTAACATGAAAAATGCTTAAAAGTGAACTGAAATGTTTTCTCCGGGATGGAGCGAAACTTCTTCATTAGATCAGGAACAATACAGACGTGTGTAATTATCTTTCAGCATCTCCAGCAAAACAAAACATCTCTTACTCACCTCCTTGTAATCGAAAGCATCGTGGGACAACCTGCTAAAACTGAAGCCGTTTGCAACTGGTTTGAATCCAAACAAATAACTCTTAACTGAAACTCCTGTTTTTACACAAGGAGCCATGAAGACATTACCATAATGAAGTTCTGTCAGAGCTTACTTTGGGGCACAACAGCCAAGTGGTGGTTCTGTATCTAATCTAATCAACACCACTGTAATTGCAAGGAAAATCAGGTCTGTGGATTGCTGTTTCCCTGGTATTAAGTTAATGTCAGCGTGAGACAGACCAGATCCTGGATGAAGTTCATCTGATTGCATGTAAATGTCTAAATTTGAGTTCCCTCTGCAGTCACAGGAATCTAGTTATGACAGGCCGTGGTGTCTGGGAACAACTCACTGAAAGAGGTGTCAAAAACAGTTTGGCTAAACCACACCTCCAAAGTATTTACATCACTGCTGCAAAAACAGCCCAGCTCTGATGGAGACACTGAAGGTGCAGATGTGCAGGAAGGAACGCAGGTGCCTAAATACAGTCATCTGCAGCCCTTTGAGGAGCCCTTGCTGCATCTCACCTAGCTTCTAGCTGTCACTCTAGAAGGACTCAGGTCTTGTACAGGTCCCATGTCTTACCTGCCAGCCTCCTGTCTCTGCTGACATGGGGCATCTAAAGCAGTACCTGATCACTGACTCATTCCCCTGAAGTCGCACGAGGTGAAAGTCATTCCCAGAGTCCTCAGGTTGGCAGGAATTGGAAATACACAGTTTGGAAGCACTCCTGATGGGCCTGTATTTCCAAAGATTGATCATGTAGCAGCAACCTGCAGCATGACAGCCCTGCCCGGAATTTCGGGAGGTTGCCCAGATGAGTAAGTCAGTCTCTTGTTACCTTACACAAGACACAGGGCAGAGGAGGAATTGCTGTGGAGACTGCATGGTGCTTTCCTGGAAAGTCCCTGCTTTAACCTCCAACCTTGTGTCACCCTCTGTATAATCACTTCCACGATTTTCCTGCTGACAAGTCACACCTCTTGCTCTGGGGTGGGCAGGGCTGTGCCAGACTGCTCCCTCTCTTTGCAGAGGCAGAGCTCCTTGCATCGCTCTAGGAAGCAGGAGATTTACACCAGTGGGATTGCACAATCACCCCAGATAAGAGGAATATAGCATGTCAGCAGAGTCCGTGTCTTTATCGCTGTAGGAAAGACATATAGGAACACTCAGATCTCTGTGGTGTTGAGGGAAAAAAACATCCTTCCCACAGTTTGTCTGAACATGAGCAGTGCAGAGTGGGCTGCACCGTTTGACCAACAGCCCCAGTGCTGCTTATCTGTGATTAGACCAGAGCTGGCACTGCTTTAAATCTCACATTTCCCTTTCCCTGTCATTTATAATCAATGGAGGTATTTTTATGTTTATATAGCATCACGGTGTGTTATAAGGCATGATCTGGATGCGGCCCTCCTGTCCTGCAAGTAAATGGACTCATGAGGACATCACAGAATCAGGGTGGTTTGGGTTGGAAGGGACCTCAAATATCATCTAGTTCCAGTCCCCTGCCATGGGCAGGGACACCTTCCACTAGACCAGGTTACTCCAAGCCCAGTCCAACCTGGCCTTGGACACTTCCAGGGTTTGGGCATCCACAGCTTCTCTGGGAAACCTGTGCCAGGGCCTCCCCTGACAGTCTTACTGTCATCTTGGCCAACACCTTTGTGTTCTCTGTCCTTTACCTTTCAGAGCAATGGAGGAGCAGGTGGCAAACAGCACTGGGCTCTTTGTTGCTTTGGATCCAGGTGACAAGGCAGTGAAACAGGACATGCCAGAAAATCCTCTGAAAGTATCCAAAAGGTTGCTTAGTTTAATTACCAAGGCCAGAAGGGGGTATGGAAATCAGCAAGGGCAGAACCAGGGATTCACACCTAGAAAAAAAAACCCTTGATATTTAGTCCACTGAAATAAACAGTGGGCTGGATACGGGATGAGAAATAGTAACCTTTAAACCATTTTAATGTTTCTCTGGAGATTATAATGAGAATTGTGGAATTACAGGATGAGATGGAAGTTTCTTACTTAGCAAATTAAAGAGAGGTTTTAAGGTTTTCCTGGAACTTCATCCAGCTTCAAAACACAGTATTCCAAAACTGAGCATCACCCAAACTAACCACAGTCCCGGCCAGAAGAACAGATCTAAGAGTACTCTCTCTGAGCACCAAATCACAACCGGTGGGAATATTTCCATCCACTTCTCTGGCTTCTGGACACATGTGGAGCTTTTTCCCCTTAGATGCAGACGATCTTAGACCCCTGCCTACAGCTGCTAATAGAGGCAGTGTTTGCCTGTCTGCATTCCAGAGCTAATGCACATTCCAGCTCATGTGGAGGACTTTGCCTCACCTCCAATGCACAAGGTCACTTCACCTTTGATCCCATGCGTTGGTGTAAGGCTACCCGAGGAGGACGGCTGTGGAATGACTCAGCAGCTCCTGCCTGCTCAGTTTCTCCCTTTAAGAGGATTTTTTGCTCCAGTGGAGCTGTTCTCAGAGTGGCTGAAGCTCACACGCCCGATCTTGAAGGCAGCGAGAGCGTAATTATCCAGCAGGTGTAAAGACAACTAACGCCAGCGCAGCACAGCCCGGGTGTGACTCAGGCAGGGGGATGTGTGGAATCATTGCTGGCATTGCCACGGGAGAGGAGCATCATGCAACAACAAACTGTCACATGTCAGCAGGGCATCCGTGTCCACCTGCCTCACCTCAGTGGGAGAAGGGGACTGTGATTTGGGAGCATTTGGGGATGTTTGGTAGAGGTTTGACGAGTCCTGTTTGTGTTGTTAAACACCAGCAGTGACTGACGCTCCTGAGCTCGGGAGGTGTGTACCAGACATTTAAGATGGTCAAAAGTCACAAGATAAGTGACCAGTGGAAGGACAGGGAGGGATTAGAGGTAGCACATAGACCAGACATGTCAACTGCCTCTTGGCTTCCCAGTGCCCCCTGTGGGAAGGGGTCTGTCCACCTGTTTTAGAATCATGGAGTGGTTTGGGTTGGGAGGGACCTTAAAGATCATCTAATTCCAACCCCACTGCCATGGGCAAGGACACCTTCTACTAGACCAGGTTGCTCCCTATCCAACCTGGCCTGGAACAGTTCCAGGGATGAGGCATCCTCAGCTTCCCTGGGCAACCTATGCCAGGGCCTCACCACCCTCATACTGAAGAACTTCTTCCTAACATGCTATGTGTATCTTTCTTGTTTCAGTTTAAAACACGCAAGGGTCAGCATGCAGCTCGACAGCCCTAGGTGGGCCACCACAAAGACTTCAGCAGTCTTGCCTAGAGTCCTGCCTACTCTTCCTTCACTCCATGTCACTGGCACTCCCAGAATCACTACCACTGGTGAAGTCCCACCGATTGCTGGCCAACACACCACCACATCACACAGCTCCATTCAAACCCGTTTAGGAAGACACGGCTCTGGAGACACCACAAGTACCCCCAACACACCTGCTGCATTAGTTCTCCCTGAATTTCAGCCATCATTAAATGTACACTAATTAGTACTGTTGGGAACGCTTGAGAAAAGCATGGGCAAACACTAAGAAACTACTTAATGCCCAAAAGCATAAAACATCTTGGCTTCAGCTAGTTTACGCTGTATCTCGATATCCAACTTACAGCACAGGGCACAAAAATAGCTTCCAAAAACATTATCACTTTGTTCTAATGGGCTAAATTCAGCCCTGAGGGGCTGTAGAAATTAATGGAGTTTGGCCCAACATGTGGTTAATGAGGATGGTCTATTTCAAGCCCATAAGGTACCACATTTCTGCCACTACAGATTGGCTGGGAATAATTCACCTCTTCAGAGACACTGTATTCACTTCCAGTCCTGGCTATGTTTGCTCTAAATAGAGGCAGCAAAAATAGACATCAAAACCAAAAACATTTCTTTCAGACTCTGAATGCCTCTGGCTCTGATTTTGATCTTGCATGCAGTAGAAGCTCAAGTGAGTGGAGAGGTTTATTTCTCATTTGTGGCAGTAAAAATGAACTGGGTCCATTATGTTTAACACCGCTTTAGGATGCAGAACATTTAAGACAGTAACTAAATACTCAGAAATCCTTACCCTTGATTAAACAAGGCTAACCTGTACTTCTGATCTCTTCCTGTGGATAATCTCTTTTCATCTTTTGATGAAGTTTCTAACTTTCCTGCCCATGCAGCCAAATCCTCCTCCTCAGAAGTCCTTCTCAAAAAGTTCAGAATCAAACTTATCATGCATCAGATTTCTAGTTCTGCATGAGCTTGTCCTCATCTCTACAAGGCCTGTACACCCATGCTCACCTATCCAGACCAATATGTGTTTACCTGTAAGAAGAGGTCCATAAGGATGTTTTTTTGGAGTCTGCACTGCTGCTCCTCCCTTTTGCATATTAGTCTTTGCCCCCACTTTGAACTTGACCTTTACGTCTTTGCTGCTGTTTGTTTTGAAACAGGGCACAGCCACAGAGGCTCAAAATATACCCTCCATTCCTGTATCCAAACTCTCCATCGTGCCTTGTTATTTTCCACAAACACTAAAAAAAAGCAGAATGCTCCAGGAAGTACTAAACTGCAGTTCAAGTGGTGTCAGACCTTCCAAACAGTCTTGTCATTTCTAAGGTGGATGATTTATGTAAGAGATCTCCCATCTTCTC